TGCATAATGCTTATCAAATTCAGCAAAGTAGCATTGATGCAAAACTGTCTAATCCATGTATTCCATTCGTATCATGCCATGTTGTAACAGAGTCTTTATTGAAAAGCCAGTGAACTACAGCAAGGTATTCTCTTTACCACCATTCCTTCCTGTTCAGAACCTAGATCATGTACCTTTAATCTCCTTATATCTAGAACAGTCACTTAGTCTTTATCTTGACTTTCATGACCTTGATGTTTTTGTAGTTTATGGGTAGCTTTAGTCAGCTTTTTCACTGCTGTGACTGAAAGACCTGATGAGAACAATTTGAGGGAGGAAGAGTTTATTGGGGGGCTCAGAGTTTCAGAGGTCTCAGTACATAGAAGGCTGGCTCCATTCCTCAGGGTTTGAGGTGAGGCAGAACATTGTGGCCTTTTTCCTTTCTGTATTTTTAATGCCTTTCTTCCACTGCAAGAACTCTTGTTCTTATTGTCCTCAATTTAGTGGCTTATTTGTCGTACCTCTTTGTATGTGGTTTTCCAGTTAAACCAGTTGTCCTCTCAGGTCTGGACCTGTTATCTCCAGGTACCAGCCAGTTTCCTTGATCTTGCTGCTGTAGACTTGTGCCCCCTACTCTATTCAGTGACTCAGATTAGCCCATGAGGAGGACTCCTTAATGCTTAGTAAGTGTGACTTCAGGGTTCAAGACTTCATGCAGAGGAGGCAGGGTAAAGTGAGGGAAGAAAGGCCATAAAACTAAATTCAGTGATGAGATTTATTTAGGCTGGAAACAGAGTGGCAGAATAAGGTCAGATAGTCCTTCTCTAAGTTAAGGAGTATTACTACTAGTGTATGCACTCTTTATTCATTCTTTTTTGAAAGACTGGTATGATAGAGTTTGGAAATAAACTGATTCTCAATCTAGGCGAGCCCTGGAGTTTTGCTGAATGTTTTTGGGTCTTTCATGTCCATGTAAAATAAAATTTGAAGCAAATTTAGAAGGATAGAAAAATTTTCAGATCTGCATATCCCTCCTTTATCCTAAAGCAAATAATTTTGAATGCTCAAGTGTTTGTATCATGGACTTTGCTGTGATTTGTACCTTATGTCATATTAGCTATTAGGAAATAGCTGGTGAAAATCAGCCTTCTTCATATATAAAAAGCAACTGGAGAACTTCCAATAATAATAATAATAATACTGTAAATCTTGGCTATTACAAAAGGGGGCAAAACAATGAACAAACAAAGTCCTAGTCAAGTGCATTGTCACAGTCTTCCTCTTGTGCCTTTGTCATGGTGATAGGAGAGCGTCAGAACTGAAAATAAGTTGAGGAAGATGTCTGATGTTTGGTTTGAAGAATATTAGTGGAAGGAGGCTATTTCTCTCTCTAAGTCAGGCTTGGGTCAGCATCATAGGATGCTGTGCCAGGGTAAGGGCAGTAAATACAGAGATCCTACACTGGATTGTCTTTGTTCTGTGAAATTACTCCATTCCCCAAAGAACCGTAACTTTTAAGAGCAGTCTTATGGTAGGTAGCAAGCACTGTGTAGGAATGAAACCAGAGTCGTAAGCAGGAAACAGTGATCAGTTCTGTTAATCTTATACTTGGTTCCATTGTCTGAGTAACAGCAGTGACTCTTGTAAAAAGGGGAACTATTGCTGCTGCACTATAATCCAGAATCCTGACACTGGATCACAGTTCAAAGTAGGGTTCTAGTTAAGCAAAGTGGTAAACATAAACGAGCATATTTGAATAGTAAGATTTTGAAACTACAAATGTATCTACCTTTCTGTCTTTATTTAATAAGGCAGTGTCTTCAGTTCTATGAGGAGTTGATCTGGTAGTTAATTGAAGCGCAGACCAAGAAATTATATCTGTTGTAATTAAGTAAGATGTTAAGACCAGAAAGAAAGTCTGACAGTTACTCTAGTTTCCAGTGAATGGAAAGAGTAATTATTATAAATCCATGACTAGTATATTACATATCCTCAGGCCTGTAAGATTTATTTATTATTGTAGCTAGAAGTGTACATCTTGTTGCTTTAGAACAAATGGTCAAAGCAGAACATATTTTTCACCAATTTCTGATTCTGAGCATGCATGTGTATTTAAAATATATATATATATATATATATGTATATTTAGTTTAGTTAGATATAGTACCTTTATTTTATTCACTTATTTTTTATGTGGTGCTGAGGATCAAACCCAGCACCTCACACGAGCTAGGCTTGTGCTCTACTGCTGAGCCCTAGCCCTAGCCCTAGCCCCTGCATGTGTTTTCTTAATCCTAACCATCAAACTTTAAAATTTTCTCATTCTGTGGAAGGTCATATTAGAAATTCTTCACTCTGGAAATTCTCTTTTCAGATGCTGTCTTTGCATTTCAATTACGCAACCCAGTGCACAATGGACATGCTCTGTTAATGCAGGACACTCATAAGCAGCTTCTAGAGAGGGGCTACCGGCGCCCTGTCCTCCTCCTTCACCCCCTTGGTGGCTGGACAAAGGATGACGATGTTCCTTTGATGTGGCGTATGAAGCAACATGCTGCTGTGCTGGAGGAAGGAGTCCTGAATCCTGAAAGCACAGTGGTGGCCATCTTCCCGTCGCCCATGATGTATGCTGGGCCGACTGAGGTAGGCCGATTTTGAGATTTTCACTGCAGCAGTGTGAAGCCACTCTTACTGACACAGTAGTGTCACCAGCTCACCTGTTGATTCTCTGTTATGGGAGGGTCTATTCCAAATATTCAGTGTTCCCAAATACTCTCCTATTGGCAGGGATGTTCCCCACCTGTAGCCCCCAAGAAGCAGCCTCCTTGGGAAAGGGAAGGTTGGAGAGATTTCTCTTACTCTTCTTGTGATTCTTGGTACCAGCTCTGAGGGTGAGATCATTCCCTGCAGATAGAAGCCTGGGTGAGGCTGGGAAGATGTGACACTGGCCCTCTTGTAACTCCTGGCCATGTTACAGACACAGCTCTAGCAATGTTGATATTGTTCCTTTAACAAAATCCTTCGTCACTGTCTCCAATTGACAGATTTTATCTTATTTTTGTTTTATTTAAATTTGCAAGAATGAAAGGAATTTCAGTGGGGGGAAAAACCATGGTATCTTCAGTCAGCTTTCTCTCATTATAACAAATATCTGAGATTATTAACTTATAAAGAGGAAAGTTTGACTTTTGGCTTAATGTTTTAGAGGTTTTAATCCATTTTCAGCTGCTTTTGGACCGCTGGTATAGGCTACATATCATGGCAGAAGTGCATGGTAGAACAGAACCATTCATGTCATGGCCAGGGAGTGAAAGAAAGGAGAAGGGGCTCAGGTCCTACAGTTCCCTTCAAAGATGTGACCCCAGTGACTGGAAGATGTCCCATTAAGCCCTACTTCTAAGAGGTTCCACCAGCTTCTACATGTAACAAGTTGGAAACCAAACCTCCAACACATGGGCCTTAGTGGGGACATTCCATGCCAAACTATAGCATGTTCATCCTCTAATACAAAATGCATTCAGTATCTTAGAAAAAGGTTCAGAATGTTTTCCATCTGTTCTTTGTGAATGATTGGAGCATAATTGAGTGAGAGGTAAAATTGCTTCTTGAAATTGGGTGGGGGGGTGGTTCTGGAATTCTACTTCTTGGTCAAAAGGAATGTTTGAGATTTTTTTTATATCCATATGTAAAGAAGAGGACTTGATTTAAGTTTTAGCTTGAAGGCAAAGTAGGCTTTCAAAAATATTTGCTAAATGAATGAATAAATCAGTGAGTGACCTCAAAAAGAGTGGGTGGGAAATTCTCAGTCATCTTCCTGTTGATTTTTCAAGATAAAGAATGGAATGCACATTATTATTGCATTCTTTTTCATCCCTGCCTTGAAGGGTGATGAATTCACTTCAGTTTATCTGAGAGGCAAACCCTTTCTAAAAAGATCTAAGTAATTCAGTCATATAAACTCTGTGATGTCCTCCTCCAGAAACAATTTCAAAGGGAATCCAAGACATTTAACTGTTCTTTGGGATCAAGCCTAAACATTTTTATTGGAGTTTAGTTATGGGGTTGTATACTCTGTTACCTCTTTATCTGAGAAAAACAGACAAAAGAAGCAATAACAACAGGATAAAAGATGAAGTTGTATTTGACTCTTCTTTCAGGGCCAGCCTAAACATTGCATTGAAACTCCCTTGTCAAGTAATGCTCCACATTCCGCTCTCTTTAAGAACTGGCCAGTGATGTCCCTTCATGTTCCCTAGATACTACCCTGATCTTTAGTTCTTGCTTTTCAAAGAGGAGCCTTTTGTTTTGGAAATGTTGCAAAATTTGAGTTTGAGTTCTTTATATATCCTAGAGATTAGTGCTCTATCTCATGTTCTGGTAGTTCTCTCAACCTCTCTTAGTGCTGATGACATCTTTGGTATCATTTAAAAACATACATACATATATATATATATTTGTAGTTGTACATGGACAGAATGCCTTTATTTGTTTATTTTATTTTTTTTTTTGTGGTGCTAAGAATCGAATCCATTGCCTCCCATATGCTAGGCAAGTGCTCCACCACTGAGCTATAGCCCCAGCCCCTCGATATCATTTTGAAGGGGAAGATATTTTAACTGATATTCTCTCAAATTAAAGGAGAATTATTTTTTACTGTGGGAATGACCCAAATGGATTTAGGATTGGGAATGGGCTTAAGATCAATAATCCCATTAAAAGCCATCTGAGAAAATGAAGGAATTTACCTTCCCCTGTTTAGGGCCTATTTTGTCCTCTTTCTATTTCTTATATTGCCTATTTAAAAGTGGAAGAGATATGAAATTATCTCAATTAAATGAACTAAAATTTACTTTTTAAAAAGTAAGAATGGAGGAATAGAAAAATAATAAAACAGACAGTCATAGTAAACAGAAGTTCCTCTTTGAGAGAGTACCATATAGGGCCAGATATACTCCTTTGTTTAAATTGGAAAGATGTTTATGTCTTCTGACTTCAGAGCCAGGTATTTGTGAAGGAAGTTTGAAGAGAAGGAACCTAAAGGTCATGGCTTACCCTAGCATCATCCTCTTGCAGGGCAAAGCTGAATCATTGATCCCAAGTGGTAAGAGATGTCTTTCCTCACCCATTCTGGTTCAAGGCTGAGGCACCTATAACAAAGATAGATTAACCAGAGGAAAGGACACCTTTACTTAGTACAAGTTTTACATGACACAGGGGCTTTTGGAAACAAAGACCCAAAGAAAGAGAATCCTGTGAATTCTATGTTAAGGTTTTTTAAAAATTTTATTTATTCTAATTAGTTATATATGACAGCAGAATGCAGTTAAATTCACATTACACAAATAGAGCACAATTTTCATGTCTCTGATTGAACACAAAGTAGAGTCATACCATTCATGTTTTCATACATGTACTTAGGGTAATGATGGCCCTCTCATTCCACTGTCTTTCCTACCCCTACCCCTAAGTCTTCCATTCCTCCACTTTGCCCAATCACAGTTCCTCCATTTTTCCCATGCTCCCTGCCCCCACCCATTATGGATCAGCATCCACTTATCAGAGTGAATATTCGGCCTTTGGTTTTTGGGGGTTGGCTTACTTTGCTTAGTATGATATTCTCCAACTTAGTATGATATTCACTTACCTCCATGTGCCATAATTTTATTCACTTTAATGCTGAGTATTATTCCATTGTGTATATATCATAGTTTCTTTATCCATTCAGCTATTGAGGGACATCTAGGTTGGTCCACAGTTTAGTTATTGTGAATTGAGCTGCTATAAACATTGATGTGGCTTTGTCACTGTAGTATGCTGTTTTTAAGTCCTTTGGGTATAGACCAAGGAGTGGGATGGCTAGATCAAATGGTGGTTCCGTGTTTTCTAAGGAATCTGCATACTACTTTCCAGATTGGTTGCACCAATTTGCAGTTCCACCAGCAATGTAAGAGTGTACCCTTTCCCCCACATCCTCGCCAACATTTGTTGTTGTTTGTATTCTTAATAGCTGCCCTTCTGACTGAAGTGAGATGAAATCTTAGAGTGGTTTTGATTTGCATTTCTCTAATTGCTACAGATATTGAACACTTTTTCATATATTTGTTGATTGATTGCATATCATCTTCTGAGAAGTGTCTGCTCAGTTCATTGGCCCATTTATTGATTTGATGATGATGATGATGATTTTGGTGTTAAGAGTTTGAGTTCTTTATATATCCTAGAGATTAGTGCTCTATCTCATGTGCCAAGTGGTAAAAGTTTGCTCCAATTCTGTGGGCTCTTTATTTACCTCACTGGTTCTTTCTTTTGCTGAGAAGCTTTTGAGTTTGAATTCGTCCCATTTATTGATTCTTGATTTTAATTCTTGCGCAGGAGTCTTACGAAGGAATTTGGGGCTTAATCCAACATGATGGAGATTTGCGCCTACATTTTCCTTCTAATAGATGAAGGGTCTCCGGTTTAATTCCAAGGTCCAAGATGAAGAGTGGACAGTCAGTCGTGTAGGAATATCTTGGAAAAAGGAATGATGACCCCTCTGGGAACTTGGCTAGGCCTGTTGGCTCAGATTCTTCTCTATATCTCTGTGTCTTCAGGAATCTTCCTTTCCTCTGGGTACAGAGAAGACATCTGGGAATGTGAGGGTCTTATGACCTACTTCAGGGTAAAGTCAGCTGGGTTTTATGGCTTTATTCAGGGATGAGGAGGGAGAGAGGTGAGAGCGGCCTTCCTGCTTCTGCTGTTTTCTTAGATGCTTAGGTGATATGTTTTGTGGAAGCATGACCTGAACTCCATCAATGCCTGGCTGTAGCAGAACCTGCATTAGCTTCTGGTCACCACCCTCAAAAGCATGGTCTAATAAAAGTAACACAAAAATGTTGCCAAGGAGTAGAGGCATGGATCTGGCCTGGTTTGCTACCAGCTGGGCTGTAATTTCAGCCTAGTCCTTTTCAGACTTCTCTGAACCAGGTGTGTACACCTTGAGTGGTCATTTAAAGGATGTACAAGTAAAACTAAGTTTCTGTCTTATTCTTAGTCATTTTCTAATTTGTCTTACTGTAACTTCATATTGAAGGAAGTCATGAAAACGTACATGTTTTGTATTGCAGGAAGTTAGAAAAGCACACATTGCATGCAATTAAATAAATTTTATTATTTGAACACAAGCATATCAACAGCACCCAGATTTTAAGAAAAAGACTTCAATCAGTGCCAAAAGCTTTTTTTTTTTCCTGCCCCCTTTAATTTGTACGTGCCTTCTCCACAGTAGTCTCTGTCCTTGCACCTGATGTTATATACACATTTTGCTTCTGTTGAGGATTGTGTACTCTGGGAAGCAGACTCAGAGGGTAAAAATAGGATTCAGAATATTTATTAGGGAAAACTCTTAAAATCAACACTTGTGTAAGGAAGACAAAGAAAGAAAAGGAGCAGGATTGAGCAGAGGGAAAAGTTGAGCTCAGTCCGTGGAGGCCTACAGTTTGCCCCTAGGGAAGTTCTGGAAAGGCCCTTCAGAGATATCCTGAATTGCATGAGACACAGACCCTGCAGTCCATGCCAACCAGGCTTTGGCTGCTTAAGGAGGGGCACGTGTTGACACTGCTGCTCATGTCATCAGCGTCCTCTCTAAAGAGGGTAGTCCCTGC